TTGGTTTTAACAAGCGGTTATTTGAGTCACTGTTGCCTTTCTATCATCTTGAACCAGTCTGCTCATTCTCCACTGACCTCTTACATCAACAAGGGATTTTCGTCCACAAGACTGCCACTCACTAGATATTTTCTCTTTTTTGGACCATTCTCTGTAAACCCTAGAGATGGTTGTGTATGAAAATCCTAGTAGATCAGCAGTTTTTGAAATACTCAGACCAAGCACCAGGCACCAACAACCATGCCACGTGCAAAGTCATCTAAATCCTCTTCCCCATTCTGATGCTCAGTCTGAACTTCAGCAAGTCATCTTCACCATGTCTAGATGCTTAAATGTATGGAGTTGCTGCTATTTGATGGTCTGATTAGCAATTTGTGTTACCAAGCAATTGGAGAGGTGTACCTAATAATGTGGCCAGTGAGTGTAAATCACACATTATGTGAATGCATTCTAGAGAGTAAAAAAACAAAATACATTTCACATGTTCATTTGATTGTTTTGAAACCGTTTTGAGGTTGCAAGAAGACTGGTCACGTGACCTTCCTGTGATTTGTACTGTGCAAGCTTCCCCTACAGGAAATTCAGAGAAGTTGCCTGAGTAAGAGGGAACAAGCTAGATCATATTCTGTTAAGAAACAAAAACTTACTTTTAAGGTGAATTTGATTTATGTGAATATCTAAGTGGAAAAAAAAGGGGTTTAATACTACTTTAACCCCTTAGGGACTCAGACCAGCACATGCAGGCTCACATAAGGGCTAAAGCCCTGACTTAGTGCAGAAGTGGTTCTAAGCCCTAATACTTCCTGTGGTCCCCACTAAGCAGATAGGCCCAGGGGAGATGCCTCACCCAGCGGTCTTTTGCCTGCTCTTAGATATAGGGTTTCCCCATACACCAAGGGTGCCTAGTTGAACGCCTAACACAGAGACCAGTGCCTAGAAGGCGCATTACAGGCTGGTCTGGCTTCTTCTTAAGAGCAGGGTCCAGGTAGGGCCTCCAGGGCTAAGCCAAAAATTAGCTGGTCTGGAAGCTGAAATAAATGAGCCCCAGTGGCTCTGCAGCAACTGTAGCAACTTGGTAGTAGGAAAAAAGACTACATACCTGTAAATTCCATATCTTAAAGTACAGTAGTCCTTTCAATTTGTAGAGACTACATATCCCACCTTGCTGCCCGCAAGAAGTGATTCCTGTGCTAACTCTGACTCATGAAAAGCCTCTTCTCAGCACCTCTGTAATTCCAAAAAGTACAGCAATCCCTACTCACAGGTCATACTGAATAGGTGTCACAAAATTAAAGGAAGTAAATGTATGAGGATCTTCACAAAGTAAATGTACAAATTCAAGAATGTTCAGATTAATAGGAGTAGGCTAGAAATAATTGAAACAAAACGTGGAAATGAAAATATGATTTTAAATTCAGACCACAGATGTGTTTTAATTCATATTTAGACCAGAATTGCAGAAGAAAGTGCAAATATATAGGAGACTAATTCACTGCAAGGAAAGTCCCCTGAAAAAGGAAAGGCACTAGGGTGGGGTGAACACAGTCAGTAGTGAGAGAAAATCCAGAACTGCTAGCGGACACTGAAGAGTTGGGTCCTTACTATGGAAGGGAGCAGTAGAGGCTGATCATCAACTTCAGAAATCCAAGAAAGGGGTGAGTCACCGTGACGAGAAGGGACTCCTCTATAGTAAAGATTGTTAGATTGAGTGTGATGCCATTCACAAGTAAAGGCTCCTACAAGAGTAGGAACCAGAAATTCCAGAGTACAAGACAAACCTGGGAAGATGTACAATTGGATGAAATAATACCAGAAGAGTGTGAAAAGGCAGCTGAAGGAGGTGCTTGACTGACAGTTACAGAATGTAACCTACAGGGGGAAACATGAGCATCCAAGCTGCAAGAAGGTAAATTACTAAGGGACCCAGTAAGATGAACAAACAAATCTCCATCTGCAAAATGGGGGGGTGCATCTACATGCAGAAAGTTGAGCAGATGAGACAGAAGGCTTCTGGCTTCGAGATCTTTGGTTTGATTGAGATGTGGACTCTCAATGTATATAACATACTACTGCAGTAATAGCAGATTTAAAGGGACGCCTCCAATTGGAGGGCATGACAATCAGATGTACCTTATGTGCTTCCTTAACGCCCCAGGCATATAACCAAAGTGCCTCAGTTTTCAAGACATATGGGGTTGACCCTGTGCTAAAGGTGTTCTCTTTAAGGGATATGATCCATTGAGACATGATTTCACAAAATCACCGCCAACAGAGAATGCAGAGCTAATTCAATCTGATACCAAAGTAGAGTCCAGCTGTCTGTCTGTGACTGTCTGTAAGGACATCATCAACCTGTTTGGTGGTATGCTTATTAAGGTAGATGGCTGGATTGTCAATAGTGGGCAGAAACTATTTATTAATAATTTCCCCTTTAAAGAGAAAAGTTCCATCACATTATCAGCAAGAGCCCATGACTCCATGGGTTGTTTCCAAACTTCAAGAAGGAAAGAGTTAAATACACAGTATAGCTGTAAAAGACCTGATGCTTGCAACAGCAGGCTGATCCTCCAACTACATGGTAGCATGTACTGCAACAATTAGGTTAAACATAACGTCTTGTAAATCATATGGAACTTGCTCAAAACACTCTCTTATGGGCAAACTGTAAAGACTTTGAATATAAATCTGATAATTAGGCAATAGGGGCCTCAGGCACGCATGGTTGGAGACCCAATAGGGTCAGAATTCAATTCTGCCATGAATGTAGCCAGACTGCACCTAAAGGACTGCAGGCATATTGCTCCATTAAATGTACAAAACAGACAAAAATTTGAAATGGATATAAGGGGTTATGTGGGCAGAGGTGAGGTCTCAGCCACTCTTGGAGAAGCAAAAAAAGAGTTTAATGAGGATGACCCTATAGTAATAGGTGTCTCAGGAACTAGGTTACAGACATTGATTTCTTCTGGGGATATCAAATAAACGCCCATAGAAGCAATAGTGGATTATGGACTGAGGTTCCCAGTTGCAGCAGGACTGTCCTCTTTGAAAAGACAAGTTGCACCACCTAGTGGAAAACAACTACCGTATATACTCGAGTATAAGCCGACCCGAATATAAGCCGAGGTACCTAATTTTACCACAAAAAACTGGGAAAAACTATTGACTTGAGTATAAGCCGAGGGGGGAGGAATAGTGCCCCATCATTGGTGTCAGTGGGGGGAGGAATAGTGCCCCATCGTTGGTGTCAGTGGGGGGAGGAATAGTGCCCCATCGTTGGTGTCAGTGGGGGGAGGATTAGTGCCCCATCGTTGGTGTCAGTGGGGGGAGGATTAGTGCCCCATCGTTGGTGTCAGTGGGGGAGGAATAGTGCCCCATCATTGGTGTCAGTGTGGGAGGAATAGTGCCCCATCGTTGGTGTTAGTGGGGGGGAGGAATACTGCCCCATCGTTGGTGTCAGTGGGGGGAGGAATAGTGCCCCATCATTGGTGTCAGTGTGGGAGGAATAGTGCCCCATCGTTGGTGTCAATGGGGGGAGGAATAGTGCCCCATCGTTGGTGTCAGTGGGGGGAGGAATAGTGCCCCATTGTTGGTGTCAGTGGGGGGAGGAATAGTACCCCATCGTTGGTGACCCCTGCTCCAGCCTGGGCTCGCTCGTTCCCTCCCTCTCCCATGGTACACACTTACCGGTCAGATGTCTTCCTTCTCCGGCCGCTCTCCTCCTCTTCACTCGCTCGATCTTCGCGGTGCTGCTCGGCTCCTCCTCTCCAAGCTCCACCTCCTCGCCGGTGATTGGGCGCCTGTGTGCCTCTCCTTAACTACAGTTCCGGCGGCCAATCACCGGCGAGGATTGATCCCGGGGGTGTGTCCAGGTGACAGGGACGGCATGTCATCTCCAGACGTTGACTCGAGTATAAGCCGCGGGGGCCGTTTTTCAGCACAAAAAATGTGCTGAAAAACTCGGCTTATACTCGAGTATATACGGTATGTCCAAAATGGATCAATGCCTTACATACTGACAAAACTAAGCAGCAAGTGCTGATAAAAGTTGTAGGTGAGGTGGCTGGAGGTGACCAAGTCACTAAAGGTGGGTAGTGGAACTAGACTGGAGACCATATGATTCACAAGGTGCTTCAGAAGCACAGGTACCAGAATAGTGTTTCTTCTAGGCTGACCTCAGCAATCAGTTCCCTCAGCTTTAACCATTACCTTTGTCGAAGTACAGCCTCCAAAATTGCTGAGGTTTCACTGATTTTAGAAAGCTGTTGTATAGAGATTTGATTTGAAAACTCCAAGGAAAAAATTTTTTAAATGAAGAAAAACAAATAGGCTAGCAAAAATATAGTCAGAATGGTTCTCAGCATAGCTGAGGAAAAGCAGTACAACCTCCCAGGACTGTATCAGAAAACTGAGGCACGATGGTTGGAGATGTGGTTATACAAGGGCTGGGCTTTTTGTTTGCCATCATCCTAAAGACAGCAGTTTAACCCAAATGTTTATAAATTACTACAATTCCTCTCTTTCTCAATGGACAATAAAGAAACCCCTTTGCACACTATGACATTTCCAGAAAAGCTTAAAGTGGAGCTATAGGCAAATCTTTTTTTATTTTTTGATAGAATAAAGGAGGGTTGCAAACCTTGTTAGTTTTTTTGCCATCTGTGTTTCCATTTTGGGAGATTCCCTTCACTTCCTGTCCCATAGCCAAAATGTGAAGTCAGGGGAAATTGCTACAAATTAAGAGAATCCCTTGGGGCCAACCACCCATTGTCACTGTTCTAAGAACAACTCAAAATTTGGGATATTCTTTTACTTCTATTTTCAAAGATAATGGTAAACAGGACAAATAGAGGGGCAGAGGTAGCAATAACAAAACTGACAGGTATTCTAATCCATCTCTATTCTGTCTAAAACTTTAAAAAAGTTTTTTGTTCCTTTGTTAGAAGTTAAAGGGCTATCTAGACTCTGACTCTACTAACCCTGTCAAGTACTCTCTTTCCCATTATACTTACCACTCTGCTGAAATATTTGTCCAAAACTTCAACAAAATTATGAATAAGCTCAAAAACAGCCATCTCATTCTGCAACAAGAAAGAAAAGGCACTTTTATACATGAGATTTAAACCTGCATTGATAATATACTTACAAGACATAACATTACACTGGAGCACCTACAAATTACCCAGCTGGCATAATATGCAACAAGAATACAATAAAAAAGCAGGATTATTAAATTGGTAATAAAGACAGGTTTTTTTTTTCCTTTTTTTTTTTACCTTAATGCATTCTTCTATGCATTAAAGTAAAAGCCTTCTGTAAGCAGGTCCCCCCTAGCCCCCCCCCCCCCTTATACTTACCTGAGCCTGATTTTGAACCAGCGATGTGCACCAGAGCAGGTATTCTCTCGGCTTTCTCTCTCCTCATTGGCTCCTGCTACTGTCAATCACAGCCAATAACAAGGGAGTGGGGGCAAGGCCAAGCTGCGCTCTGTGTTTCTTTTGGATACACAGAGCTGGCTCAGAAAAAGCATGCACAAGTGCCTCCATAGCAAGCAGCTTGCTATGGGAGCACTCGCCAATGGGGAGGGGCCAGGAGCGTTGGTGGGGGACCCCAGAAGAAAAGAATCGGGGCTGCTCTATGCGAGACATTGCACAGAGCAGGTAAGACAAGTTTGTTATTTTGAAAAAATAAAAACAAAATTTATATTGGAAAAAATAAAAACAGCCTTTAAAATCACTTTAACTTATCTGTAAATTTTTTGTTTAGAGTACAGGACACAGGCAGAATATCTATACACCATAGGATTTAGGCAAGCACCTACAGGTGATAGGACACTGGCAAAGTTTTAGAGGACATGCACCCTGGGCGCCTTCCCTGTAGCCCTTCCCCATACTGTGAGTCCTCAGTTTTGTAGCAAGCAGTGGAGAGGAAAGCAAGAAATGGAAGGGAGGATGAACTTTGCCCTGTACTATATTCCAGGATATGGAATTTACAGGTGAGTCAAAATTACTCTTATTCTAATTGTACAGTGTAAGACATAGGCAAAATATTCATACATCATGGGATGGCCCGAAGCAATAAATAGGAAGGGTGAGCAACAAGGCAAACAATACTGTGCTAACAGGCCCAACAAAAAGGGTCAGTACACCCAACCCCAGACAGTTGCTTCAAGAACCTTGCAGCCAAAAGCTGCGTCAGGAGAAGCTTGGACATTCACCTGGTAAAAATTTGAAAAAGTATGAACAGAAGACTAGGCGAGGACCTTACACAACTGGGCTACAGAGGCTTGGTGCTGAAGTGCCCAGGCAACTCCCGCTGATCTGGTGAAATAGCCATTTAATAGCGCAGGAGGAGATTTCTCTTGAAGAATGCAAGCTCTTGCAATCTGATTTCATATCCATTGTGCAATAGTGGACTTGCAGGTTGTCCCTTGGAAGGTCCAGAGAACAGGACAAACAGTAAATCCATCAGTCTGAATGGAGCAATAGTTTTGAGGTATATAATAATGGCTCTGTCTACGTTCAGGCAGTGTAGAGAGATTTCCTTTGCATGCCTTGGAGCAGGACACAAGTATGGGAGGGCAATGTCCTCATTGAGGTGCAATGCTCAGACCAACTTCAGGAACAAGAATGGCCTTGGACATAAAAAAAACAAAAAAAAAAACAACAACCTGTCATTGTGAATTATGAGGAAAGGCCCTTCACAAGAAAGATCCAACAGTTCAGAAATATGTCTAACAGAACCTCTATGGGAATAACTCTGATAGATTCACAGGGTGGTTTCTGCAGGCCAGAGAGAACTAAGTTGAAATCCCAAGAAAGCACAAAGTGATGCAAAACCAGATACATCTTGATAAAAAGGTTCTTACAAGGGAGAGTGAAGCCAGGACTTTGAAAAAGAACTGATAAGGCCAAGACCTGACCTTTAAGAGTACTCGAGGCCAATTTCTGGTCAAGACCTGATTTGCAGGAAAGCTAGAAAGTGAGGTACAGAGAAATCTCTGAGACTGAAATGTCCGTTTTTAAACCAGCCAAAAAATTATTTCAGGGGTGAAAATAAATCTTCCTGGAAGAGGTCGTTCTTGCTTTTAGTAAGGTAGGAATCACAGACTCAAACCCCTTTATCTGCTAGAATTCTGATTATGTCTGTTTACCGGGTTCTGTGTCAGTTTGGTGCAATCACCGTTTCTTTTTCTAGCTCTATTTTCTTGAGCACACAAGGTTGGATTCACACTGAACAGAAGGCATACATTAGCCTGAACTGAGACCAGGGGATTATCAAAGCATTTGAGGCTAGAGCTAGAGGATCCCTGGTTCTGACAAAAAATAGAGGTAGTTTGCTGTTGAATCAGGGGCTAGCATGTCCACATCTGGAATCCGCCATTTTTGCCATATTAGCTTAGACAACTGGATGAAACCTATTTTCCCTTTGAACTGGGCAATGGTGGCCGCTTTCCAGATGTCCACTCCTGCGTTGTAGACCACAGAGATTGTTGGACCGTGAGTTTCTATCCAAGAGATAATCTGGTTTGTTTCCTTCGAGGTAGCCAGACTCCTAGTGTCTGCTTGATGGTTAGGCCACTATCGTAACATTCTCTGACTTCATCCTGATTGGGTGCCCCTTCAGAAGGGGCATCCAGTGTTGCAGGGACAGCCATATGGCTCTGAGCCTCAAGATGTTGATGGGAGGCTTGGCTTCCCTCAATGACCATGTTCCTTAGATTGGTAGCAGTTAGAACACTACAGCCCAGCCTGAGAGACTTGCGTCTGTTACGATAACTTTCTAATGATAGGGAAGTAAGGACTTTTATACTGTTATGGCTGGGGTGGTGACCCACCAAGATAAGGAAATACTTGCTAAGCTGGAAAGAAGCATGGGCATATTGAGAGGAGATTGCTTTTTTCAACAAGATATTTTGTTGGAGAGTTCTTGAATGGTATTTGGCAAATGGTACTGCTACAAAGGAGGCTACCATTAGGCCTAGAGCTCTCATGGAAAATCTCAATATGGGATGTTTATTGGATCTCAATTCTTGAGCTTGTGCTCTTAAAGGGAAGGCTGGAAAACAGATTTATTGAAATCGATCACCCAGCCAAAGGCCTGGAGCTTCTTAATTGTCTTGCAGACATTTTCTGATAACCAGAAAGGAGATGAGTCCTATAGAAGAAGGTTGTATAGATAGCCTGTCACTTGGGGCCCCCCTGATGACATCATAACGATGAAAGGCCTAGGGGTGTGGCTGAGGCGTGGCTTCACAGCACTAAGAGAGAGAGAGAGCACATAGTCAATACAAGTTTACGTTAAAGATTCCAATCCATTGCCATCCGCCCTGTTAAATGCAGATGGGAGATTTTTTAAAAGTATATATGCTTCTGTCTGGTCTTACTACATGTGATTGGTTTTCTATATTTAAGCTTTTTTTTTTTTAATAAAATAACAGTGAGTACTATATAGGTTCTCATTGCCTTTTAACATGTAAACACACACTCGTTCATCCACCTTCCTTCCATCCATCTGAGCTGCTGAGGTTCTCCAAGAGTCTCAGACCTTGCTGATTCAGAAGGAAAGGAGTCCATCTGGTGTTGGGAGCGCATATTGACCTTTGTTGTGGAGGTCAATACAGGAAGTTGAGAGTTTGCCCTTAAGGGATTCACCGTGGTGGAGGTATTTTCTGCTTGCACGTTCTCGCAGTACTTACTTTGGAATGAAATACTTCACAAGTTATATGGGACTATTACATTCACAACTGTGCTGGGAAATACATTTTGTTATGTTTGAGCTCTACAATGCCCTTCCATGTGCACCTTACTTTAAGGTCCGTTTACACTTTCAACAAGATATGCCGCTTCCTTCCTGCTTTTCATTTGACAGGTAGTGAGGAGGCGATATGCCACCTCCTCACTGCCTATTTAAACACTTTAAATGCCACACTTCCGCACACAACCTGTACATTGCATGCGGTTGCAGCACAGCCCCATGCACTTGAGTGAGTTGCACTCGGCGGGAGGGAGTGCCCACCGAATATTACAGGGGTATAACTTTTGCTGTGGTCACAAATCAAAGCACTGCGATGGCGGCATGTGTACACCCCCAGCTGCTGCCTTTGCAGCTTAAGGGGAGCATTTGGGGGGGGCATAAAATGCAGCTCAACTGCATTTTTTTTACTGATGCCCAACCACAAGTGTAAAACAAGCCCTTAAAGCTAGTTATAAATTGCGGCGTTGTCCATAATTGTTCATTTATCAATTCACATATCACTTTAGATATGGATTGTGTTTCACTGTATTCTTACCTAATAGGGACAAACATTTATTGCAAAAGAGGAAAGGACACATCAGAATAAGAATACTCAGCATTCAAAATACAAATTTGCTTTGTAGTCCTTTGTAGTGAGCTTTTCCTTACCTCTGACTCATCTACTCCAACCACAATGAAAAGAGCTGCATACTGGCGGTAAACCAGTTTGAAGTCCTTATACTCTATAAAGGAGCACTAGAAAAACAAAATATGATTATTACATTAAAACATGTATTGCAGTTGTTTCTGGCTCAGCTGTTTTTTGGACACTAAAACTGGTGAAACTGGTACCTGACAACTTCCAAAGAGCAGTTGGGGCAGAACATCCCTACACTGTTTATTATTTGCTAGCAGAGTTCTTTGTCACAAAACGATGACAATCTTTACCCATCAATGCATATGAAAACACAAATTTTGCAAACAGCAACACAGTCTACTAATCCCATGTAAATAATTCAGATCCACTTTGTATGACTGAGGAAAGGCTTGTTAACACGTGTGCAATTTCTTGCTGTATGATAAATGAGGCCAATCATCGGAAACCAGAGGAGCTTGAAAAACTTTGTTTTTTAATTTGTGCTTTAAAACATGTTATTTCTGTATATAAATTGCATTAGCATTAAAAACTAAACCTAAAAACTGTTTGTGTTCCTTAAAAACCCCTAGTATAAATCACGTGTGTTAAAACTGCATAATTACATACAGTTGGTAAGGTTGAATAAAGACACCTGTCCGTTCAGTCCATGCATTACAGCAGGGCTCAAAATTTCAAGTCCTGAGCTACTAGCCAGGCCTTAGAAGTTACTCGCCACCATTTGCCCAACCCAACCCCTACCCTGCTACGTCCCTAATCCCTCCCCTAAACATGCCCTCGTAAATTCTTTCATTAAATGACACTGTTAAATGTTTTATGCAGAATAAAGCTACAAAAATAAATATATACCCACCTTCAACCCCCTCACCCCCCAGCCAGGTCCTATACTCCCTTTTCACCACCAGACATGGGGGGGTAAAAGAATAAGAAAAAGGGGGGTGAGAGAGAGAAGGGGGTAAGAGAAAAAAGAGGGGGGCGATCAGTATTTCTGCTACTCCCAATTATGGCATCGTCTCCCCATAATTTGAGGTTATAATGAGCACACCAACCCCCTCTTGGAACACACAGTCTCCATTATGGTACAATGCGCCCCCCCCCAGAACACACACAAGGCCCCCCTACTACATAAAGTGAATACAGAGCCCCCACCACCACATACAAACATACATATGTACACACACACAAACACGTCTCCCCTTCTGGCTCTCTCAGCATGTCACACTCCGCTTCTCAGCACTCCGGTCACAGACAGTTCTCCCCCTTCCTCCCACTGTTACATACTGAGGAAGCCACGTGATTCGTGACGCAATGCGTAGGACGGAAGTGTGGTGACGTCAGTTCCGGCATGGATGGCAGCCACCATCTTGCTACACCCATGCAAATACACCCAAATCATTACAAGCTGCTTTGAGCTTGTTTTACATTGATTTGATGTAAGTGGGAATTTGGCAATATGCTGCTCAATACATTTTATTAAATACTACACTATGGAAGTGTTCTTTTTCTCCTCTTTTGGGATCCTTTGAGTTGGCTGTGCGGTGCATTTTTCCGTGAGGGGGATACCACCACTGCTGCTGACGGTCGACCTCCAGGATTAGTGCGGAAGGCCCCTTTGCTGATCTTTTTGGCGTTGAGCACCCTGAAAGTGCGTTGGCCCCTAGGGGTCACAACGTGGAGGTGAGGAGGCAATTTAGCCAGTGATGGATTGCTTGTCATACTGATCACTTTCACTACCACCAATCAAGTTTACTTGGGAGTCTAATTATCAGACTTTACAAGTATTAATATATTGTGGACTATTGCACAATTTTTGGATTCATTCACCATTCGTGGCAATACATATGCCATTATATTACATAGTTTTTGTGTTCATTTTATCCACTATTTTCTTCCACCATTTATTTATTGTGACATCTTTGTTATTTCACATCTAGTTCCCCACTGGGATAGATTCACCCTGCGTTTTCATGTATTGATTATTGGTACACTTTTCCATTTATCTGTAAAATTCACTATCTTTTTAACTGGCCACACTTGTACAGTGCACATATAAAGTTGAGGATTGATTTTGTTTTACTTATGGTAGTGCACTTGTAATATCCAGGTTTTTCCACATTTTTGTGGCACTATTTCATGCCATTATTTATGCTATGCATTTTTGTGTCTGTGTTCACTTATTATTTATTTCTGCTGACATTTATGTCATTCACTTTTTATTTCCCACCATTATGTATATCACCTTTGGGCTCTCCTGTTATTGATCATCGTCCACTAGTGTATTCATCCATTGACTCTTATATTACTAATTTTTTCTTTCTTTCGGTTTTCCAGCACGTTTGGAGCTAATTACATGCATATTTGTGTTTATTTCACATTTGTTAATGCACTAGTGGCATTTATGGTGTTTATATAGCTGCATACATGCGTTATGGTTTCTGTGGTCATTCACTTTTTGCATTATCTTTAGTTTATTTAGATTCCCCTGGGATTTTAGCGCAGCACCTTCCCCCCTGTTTTTGCATTTTCTCTATTTTGGTATATAGCTGGTTGCTTGCTGGTTTCCTAGATCTTATTATCAGTGTGTAGTTTTAGCGCGGGAGGTTTTTTCTTATTTTTCAAAAAAGATGATAAATGTAAATTTTTTTACTTTTTTGCAAAAAATGTGCATTTATTATTTTTTTTTTTTACAAAAAGGTGAACTTAGCCTTCAAATACTCCTGATCCCTGCACTCTTCATGACCATGCACATTGTCAGGAAAGGCGCATACATGTGCGCAGGCGCATTAATCTGAGAAAATGTCTATGGGCAAGTTGCAGGTGTGCACGTGCGTGCATGGTTGTGCAGTGGCGCCAGGCGGGCTATTTAAGTTGCACTAGTTTCCTGTGCCAGTGCCGTTTGGTTTGATATGTTCCTGTGCATCTGTTATCTGTTCCTGTGTTGATCTTCTGTTGCCATCTGATCGGCTCCTGACTTTACTTAAAAAGCTGCCTGCAGCAACCCCTGGCTTGTCCCTGGACTATGCTTCTACCTTCTCCTGCTCATCTGCCTTGCTGTTACCGATCCCGGACTGACTCTTGACTACTCTTCTGCCTGCTGTCTGTATTTGATCTGCCCACTAGTTAATGACCTGGACTGTTTGACTCTGCTTGTGGTTCCTTTTTCTACACCTGAATCAGCTGATTGGTGCCGGACTCCTGCTCCTGTCTACCTGCCAGTGTGCATTCAGCCAGTCATCCCTGCGTATCCTGATGCACATTAGCATCTTTCACCTGATGACTTATCGTGCACTCGTGCCAGTCTTTGCTCTGACATTCACTGTTGCTTTACCAGGGCTCCTGAGCCAGTGCTATAAGAGAGGCCTAACTCTGCATTTCAAGCTACATCACCAGGTACTTCACAGACATCAAGAGTCTAGAGCAGAACCTTTAGCCAATTAGCCAAGTTAGATTTTTATTGGGTCAGCATCACAATTATGCAACCAACTATTTTGGAGGGCATTCTGACAATGGCAGCCCTATTATTTCTCATACAGCAGGGTTACTTTTAACAAGCTTCGAGATAAAGAGCCATGTACACTTAGGGACCATTCACACTAGCCCAGTCTGCTGCGATGCGTTTAGCATGCATTGCATCATTCATTAAACTGAATTGCTTTAAGGCAGCCCAGGCATTTGAATAGCCTGCCTAATGCACAACAACTGACTAAAAATTGTGCCTACAGCATTTTCAGCACCACAATGCAAGGTAATGTGCTACTCCGCTTTGCAGTGATCTACAACTGAGGTGTACTGGGGTACCATTCAAATTGGCAAATGTTACTATGTGTTGCAGTAGTAGTGTGAATGGTTTCTTGGACATCTTTTTCTTATGAAAACATTAAAATATATGAAAAAGCTTACCTTGTGAAACAACCCATTCAGTTTAAAATAAAAATGAAAGGCAAAATATTTGTGTGTATAAGCATTATAAATACCTTTTGTTCCCTTTTATAAGTGATCACATCCCCTCTGTTCTCAGCTGCATAAGGAGCTCAGGGAGGAGAAACAGCAGCACAATTATCCTCCCAGTAAATGTCTAAGCAAGGGGCATGTCAGCACAAGCCTGATCATTGGATTAGCTCCCAGCACAGCTAGAAACTGACCACACTGAGCTTTCCTGCCTAGTGTGGCCAGTTTTTAATAGGAAAGCAGAGGGACTAGCAGGATCACCAGGTATTTCACATAAAGGAAGCAATACAAAGGAAGCAGGATACTTTTCTATACAAGTACATGGTGCAGTTGGCACATAGTAATGATATGAAATGTTGGGTTTACAAATTCAAGAATATATGTGGTGCACATTTAATCACCGCATAAATTGTAGAAACCCGTTGTACATAAAATCAATGGACATGGCTACATATTTTAAACAATTCCCAGCTGCTGTTGTTTGACTGAGGAAAACCAAGCCACAGTTAACTTGTTCCTGTGTTGCATTGTGATGCTGACTGCTATCCTTACTGTAATGCTGGGAGACTCAGTGGAGTGTAATGAGTGTACCCAGCTGGAAGTGCAGAATACAAAACTGCTCAATTGAAAGGAAACCTGTACTGAGAGGAATATGGAAACTGCTACTCCCAGCATCTGCTTCTGTAAATGCTATCTGCATGGCTGTTATTCTGATCCAGTCTACTTTCGACTAACATAGGACATATATGCAGATCAGATGGAACTACCTGCATGGGATTTGCATGTTATCTCTGTGCTTGCCTGGGTTTCCTTCGGGTACTCTGGTGTCCTCCCATACTCCAAAGACATGCTGGTAGGTTAATTGGCTCATGTCTTAATTGGCCCTAGTATTTGTAAGTGTGAAGGTGAGTTAGGGACTTTAGGTTGTACGCTCCTTAAGGGTTAGGGACTGATGTGAATGTACAATCTATGTAAAGCTCTGCGTAAATTGACAGTGCTATGTAAGTACCATAAATAAATTTAAAAAGTCAGGATTTCGGACTTCCTGGGCTACATGCATCTTCACTGTCAAATATTTTTAGAGGGCCTCCAACAATGGAGACCCTCAAATTCCTCTTACTGCAGATTTTCCTTTAAAAAGTAATAGGCATTTACCAATACCACTTTAAGTTAACCTAAATGGACATGTACAGTATTTTATCTCACCTGATCTTTGGAACGGGAAAGGCAAAGTTTGATGACCTCAGATTCCAACAGTGTCCTTCTCTGTACCTCTACACACTCATAGTATCTGGATAGCCTTGTTTGTCCTTGTTTGTTGACAATCAAGAAGAATTTGATCATTTCTACTACCAGGGGACTGTCTCATCCACTCCTAAATAAAGTACACTGCAAAAAAAAACCAAAAACAAAATAAAACAATCTCTTCTTACTCCTAAATTTAATAATAAAAAATTTAACAAAAATGTTATCTGGTCCTTGTAAACAGTCTTGCTCACCAAGAATGTAAGTAGAAGTCTAACAATTATTTATTTTTTTACATTTTGAAGAGTGCGGGGAAAGGTTATACATATAAATCTATATCAGGTTTTGAATTGCTTTTTGTATCCCCATTTGGGAAATTTACCCTAATTTTCTCTTTTGAGGTCTACTGACCCCTAGGACTGGAAGAGAAGGGAGATGAACACAAACAAGAGGAAAAATTGCTGTTTCATAAGAACTTGTATGTTTGTTATTGATTATTCTGCATACAAAAATGGCTCATCATTTTTTTTCATGTTGTTCAGGTATATCTTCACCTCTCAAAGGTTGCCTACCCCTGATGTACATAGGGGTAAATGCTAGATCCCATTCTTAAATAGTACGGAGATCATTTTATTCCCTTCTTTTCATTTATTTTTGAAGTGGAATAAAAGCCTAAGCACACCTATTCCTAAACCCCCCCCCTCCTACCTACCTGTATAAAAAAAAGATCTGTATACTTGCCTTTTTTTAATTTGCGCTGGTCCGGTCGCATGAACCTGCAGGTCTAGCAATTCCAGAAGAAATAGGAGTGGGTACTTGAGAAAACTAGGTACCCACTTTCCCCCCCAAAAAACAGTTCCAAAAGAAGAGGGGGGTGTGTGAAATTTTATTTTACAAATAGATATAATTAGGTTTTACTTTTAAGGTCAGAATCATAATGTAGCTGTTGCTTTTTGAAATTTACACTTATCCATTTCAAGAAAGGAGACTCCCTAAAAAAAAATTTTTTTGGGTGATTTTGGCCTCTAGTCCAGACAAGAGGTGGAAATTTACATGGTTGTAAAGTGTGCAGCAGCACCCCCTAAAACTTACCTGAGCCCCATCGTAATCCAGCGATGTGCCTTGGTTTTCCAGGGATTCTTCCTCTCCACTGGCTGGGACAGCAGCAGGAGCCACTGGCCAATCAGAGCCAGTGAGCCAATGAGGAAAGAGAGGGGGTGGGGCCGAGCCGCAGCTCTGTATGTGAATAGACGCGCAGAGCAGTGGCTCTGGAGTGAGCCTGCTTGGGTGCCCTCATAGCAAGCTGCTTGCTCTGGTGGCACTTGGCAGGAGGGAGGGACTAGGAGCACCGGCGGGGGACCTGGGAAGAGTAAGTATGACGTCTTTTTTTTTCTTGCCTTTAATATCGCTTTAAATGCTATAGAAAACACGACTATACATGAAAAAAATCCAAAATGAAAAATGTCTTCTGCCGACGCCTACGGCTGTTAGCACTGCAAGGTTTCTTTCATCACTGAAAATCGGGGGTAACATACATGTACCGAATAATACCATGGTTTCGTGCTTGTTCCTTTGGAGTATCCTTAGATAACAAATGTCATGTGAAATTTGTAGAGATACATGTGTGGTTGTTGGCTTTTCCCATAATACAAAAATGCGTCTAAACTTTACCAACTTGTCTTGGCATTCCAATAATTAAAGCAGACCTTCATTCTCTCAATTAACATTGCTTATTTTCAATCCTTATGTAAATAGATAGGAAGGTACTGTATATTATAATTACTGGCTTTAAAACATTTTTTACATTTCTTCAGTTACCTCAGGAGGGGCTTTCTCAGCTAAGCACACCCTCCTGGCTGCATGCCTGAGCTAAGGACAGATGGAAACCAGGAAGTAAATTCTACAAGAATCATCTGCCCTTACTCAAAATGGCCATGGCCAGAAATGCTAGGGGTGGGGATTTCAAAGTAATTTCAAAGCAAAATAAAGCAAGAAGACATGGGTGGATAGAGGAGTTTGCTTTGAATATTAAAAATGAATTAAATAGTGTTTTTGATTTGTGGTGCTCAGATGCAGCATAATTACTCTAATACTTTTATCCCTTTTAACACTAATGCAGTTTTTGCCATCAATTATTCTTTGATTGGCAATTTGTGCTCTTCCTAGGCACTAGACCTTGGCCTTTGCTGGTTGAAATGTAGAATGTTTCACAGCTGCATTCAAGTGTGTCTGATGTCACTAGGTACTGAGTATAAACTTAAAATAGTGCCTGAGAAAAAAACGGCTCCTCCTTATCCTACGCGATGCTTCGGTATTGCATTGCAAGTAATGCTGCTGTTATGGTTATAACATACTGCTTTTTTTCTGAAAAAAAATGCTAAATTGTCTGCTGCCTGCCTTGATGTTGATTTGTCTTCAGACTGTGCCCTTTGCTGTTGATATGTTACATTCAGGGGCGGACTGACAACTCATGGGGCCCCCGGGCAATAGGGGATCATGGGGCCCCTGTGTCCTTGCCCACACTCAAAAAAAAGCCTATGAAAAAGGTACCAGGGGCATCTCATGGGGCCCCCTACTGACCCCGGGCAGTGCCCGAGTTTCCAAATGGTCAGTCCGCCCCTGGTTACATTGCATTGTTTATCAGACTGAAAGTGTGCAGTAACTAGTGAGAAAAAACAGTCCAACCCAGTCCATACCAGAGCCTGGGAGTGTCATACCAGAACCTAAAACCCATGAAGGAATCATGGTAAAGGTCAGAAAATTCAAGGCTCCCCACGTCATGGGAGTCCATATTCTCTGGGGGTAGCACACAGAGTTAACAATAACCTCTGTCAGTGATAAATAAATATGACTGCATAGGTGCATAAAGAACTAAAACTTGTACAAGAAAACTCATTTTCACACACTGACACAATATAATGCTAAGATAATCAAATTAACATCCAGATGAAAACGTATTATAAGAGCCAGTTCACACTATAAAAACGGAGTCCAGATGCGTTTCCTCACATACGTTCTTCATGCGTTCCGCACTGAAACTGACCATACTGGTAGGAACTATGCCATTGGAAATTATATAACCTACTATCCATGCATTTTTGATGAAAAAAAAGGCACTGGACTGCAAGTGGTGTGAACTGGCACTAAAAGAATATAATATCCTTTTTAAAGCATTTATAAGTAACATTTGCCTTGCCTTGGACATTCAACAACAGTTACCCTACTATGCAGATCACACAAGACCAGCATAGCTGGCCAAAAAAGAAAGTCTGGATTTACAGTCCAACAGGTGTGCATGTGTGTAATCCTAACAACAGGTGTGACAGCATATGTGTGCAGGAATGTACCAGTGTGAGCATGTGTTTCTCTGTCTCTGTGGAGAGGAAAGCCTAGATGTAGCACAAGCAAAGATTTTCAATTTAAAGTCAGATGCAAACAGTGGATACATGCTTGATAGCAATCAATTAGCAACATTTTAGAGTATTTTGAAATTATGAACCATTTAGATGCCGGCAGTACAATATTTATTTTTAAAAAACTGGAATGGTTGCTTTTGGTGCGGGATGTAAATATTTTCAGTACATAAAGTTTCAACAAAAGTACATTTCATGAGTAGATTTTTATCACTTATATGATTAAAGTGGCTATGTTTTAGTGCAGCATTAATCACACCTAAATACCTAACTGAATCGAGCACTCCCTTGGCAATACAAACGAGCTCCCGTTCAGAAATTGAGAATTGGTTGCTAGAAATCTCTTCAGCCTGGGTTCACATCGATGTGGTGTGGAATTTGCAGCAGTTTCTGTGCGAATTCCACACCGCATCATAGTCACACCCCGTTCATGCGACCGCTGAGGGTGTGTATGTTAACACCCCAAAATCAGTTCGCAAAACGCGGTGCGATGTGTAGAATCGGATTGTATGGGTGTGTATACCATTTGATCTGATTCTAGTGTGGACAAAAAAAAGGGTATTGCACCCTTTTGGTGCGGATGCGGTGCGATTTGAGTCAGACAACAAGTATGGCTCAAATCGCACCGCATAGAATTAGCATGTGATTTGCACAGGAATGCAGTGCGGTTCCTGTAAAAATCACATGTGATATGCCGCACCACAGAAGTGTGAACCCAGGCTTAAAGTGGAACTGCACTGCATCTAAGTACCACAAACCAAAAATTCTATTCAATTCATTTTTAATATCCAAAGCAAACTCACCCATCCATGATTTATGTTGCTGAGAATTTATTCTGAAATACAGCCCCTGATATTTCTGGCAGTGGCTATCTTGAGTAAAGGTTGATGATTCATATAGCATTTACTTCCTGGAACCCAGCTGCCCTTAGCTTTGGCATTGGCTGAGATGAGAACCCTCCCTCCCCTCCTAAAGACTCCTGGGATATATGACATCATTTGCCTAGGTCTGGAATCCAGGAAGTAACTGAAGAAATGTAAAAAAAATTGTTTAAAACAAGTAAATATGATACACTTTCCTATCCATAAACTATGCTAGCAGCATAAGGATTAAACAGTTTCCATGTTGCTTGAGAAAGTGAAGTTTTGCTTTAAAACGGCTACCAACTGCTCCAGGTTGGAAAAGAAACTATGTTTCATTCTCATCAAACAGAAATCCTCTGTCTGGCTGTCATCATCATAATGGTCCTTTCACACGAGCTTTCCAATTAGGTCCAGGTCAGTTTTTCAGGCAGACCTCCATGTAAGCCTATAGGCAGGTGGATGAAAGCAGATATAAGTCCATTTACATCTGTTTACCTCCAAGTCCATCCAGATTTGGAACAGGTGAAAAAAGACCACATTCTTTTCTGTTTTTCTGGACCTTAGCTAACCTATCGACGGGAACCCGATGTAATTCGACACAAGTCTGTTTTCATCCAGCCACCCATAGAGCCACACAGGTCTCCATAAAATGCAGAAGAAAACTGAAAGAGCACAGATGTCATGAAAGTGATGTTCATCCTTTTCTGCTCTAGCTCAGCAGGGTATCTGTTCACTGATCCTCAGTTGATGGGCCTGGACCTGGCCTGAGTAAACCCTAAAAGAGAAGTGACAAGTCCAAAAAACCCAGATTTGGATTAACCAG